TATAGTTCCATCACAAAAATCAATCCTCAATCGTTGAATTGGTAGGTAAAGATTTCTCAGAGCTAGCGCGCGCAGAAAAAGAAAATAGAGGAGAGCTCCAGTAACCTGAAATGGCGACGGGGGATGACAACGACACGGTTTCGTTAAGTCCGGGGGGTTTCCAGCTACGCTGGGACGTGTTCCTAAGCTTTAGAGGCGAAGACACCCGCGCAACAATCACCAAGAGTGTGTACGAGGGGCTCGATAAACGCGGCGTCCGAGTCTTCCCAGACGACGACGCTTTGAACCGCGGGGACGAGATCGCCCCGAGTCTGCTGGAAGCGATCGAGGACTCGACGGCGGCGATCGAGGACTCGACGGCGGCGATCGTGATCCTGTCGCCGAGATATGCGGAGTCAAAGTGGTGTCTGGAAGAGCTGGCTAAGATATGCGAGCGCCGGAGCCGGCTGATTCTGCCTGTGTTCTACCAAGTGGACCCTTCTCACGTTCGACATCAAAACGAACCGTTTGCAAAGCATTTTAGAGTTTATGAACAACTGCCTGAAATCGCCGACAAGGTCCCTAGGTGGCGGAGTGCCATGGAAAAAGTAGGCGGCATAGCGGGTTATATTATCAACACCAGGTACCCGTATATTTTCTTTTTTGGCTTTTTGTTTTTCAGTTACGTGCATGCTCTGCTTTCTTCATACTTTACAAAAGCATTTTAGTAACCAGCTGCGTTAATAAAAGTTGAAACCCTAGCTAGCTATAGCTAGGATGCATTGCTTAGAGTTGGATCGAGCTAGCTCTCTCGATAATAATGTTGTTCATTTTTACGTATGGATCATTCAGATGATGGTGATGGCTGTGAGTGCCATACAAACATTGAGATGAGATAACTAACGATTCATACACAGGTTGCAGAGGGACGAAGACTTATGAATTAATAAGTTGGTGTTCTTCCTTCTTCTTGCTGATAGTTTTAGAGATTTTCTATTTAAACCCCACACTTCTCTTAGTTCACCCCATATTCTAAGTTCACCTTATGTTTTAATTTAAATTTTCACAATTTCTAAGAAAGCTCTACTATCTTTCCAAACTACCTTTGAATACACCCCAAACTGAAAAAATAAGAAATAAAAGAGATTTTCTATTTAAACCCCACAATTTTCTTTGTTCCCAGCTGAAAAGAACACAAACAAATAGAACCCCAAACTCGAAATTTAATACTTTCTAGAGAAAGAAAACAGTTTTACCTCTCTCCAAGAATTGTAACTGGAATTCCAACACTTGGGTATTGTTGAGTTGAGAACTTGAGAGAGAGAGAGAGAGAGAGAGAGTGAGTGAGTTTGTAAACAGGAAGTTGGAAGGAGGTTGTGGTTGGGAAAGGTAGGAGAAAATAAGGTGGAGGTGGAAAAAAGTAATGAAATTTGAAGAATTATTAAGTTGGATGACCTTTTTTGTTTTTTTGCACAATAATAAAATTTACAGCTTAATGATTTAAGTATTGGAATGAACAAAGAGAAGTGCAGGATTTAAATAGAAAATCTCTAGTTTTATTTGGTCGAGATTTGACTTTTCACTTTTCAGAGGACTTTTAGGGTTTGGGATATTTTTGTAATTAAATAAATATAATAATTAACAAAAGGTTTTGGAGTGTATTATTACAAGTAGTTATCATTCATGCATTGATCTCCTATCTGATTTCACAATTGGTTCTTCAAAATATTCATGGCTGAAAATGCTCTTTCGACGATGATAGTAGCAACGGGTAAAATCAATGTTAATGTTACAACCAAGTAAATCAGTGGATATACCTATAGATTTTATTTTCCCAACAAAAAAATGAGTAGGGCATCCGCACCCAGTGAGCCTATATGCTGACTCCGTTCCTAGAAATTCAAAATTCTTCCACCTTATCACAATCATTAGGAGAAGGAAGAACAAGGTGCGGGAGCGGGAGGGCCTCTTTAATTCAGAGGGAAATTGAATTGCCGAGAGATTGCCGAGAGGAAGCAGCAGGTTGCTGCCGATTATTTTGAAAAGCTTTTTTGGCTGGAAGCTTTTTGCTGAGCGTGGTATTATGGCAACGCTTTTTGGCTAGAAGAAATTATAGATGTCTACATTTAAAAGGATAAAAAAAAAAGGTCAAATAATTTACGGTATATGGAACAACACTTGAGTGCACTTTACTTTCATAACCATTCCATTGTGACTAACGAATCTTGGCATTAAACGTAATCGGAAATGTTCATTTTCTAAATACATGAATCCGCGGGTATGGTGGTGTCACGTTGAGCATAATGATCAGCACTATATAATATAAAACTGATTTGAGATTATATTAACCTAGTAATAAGTGGTAATTAAGTCAAGCAAGTGGGGGAAACAATAATCCAAGTTAACTTATCATCACATGGTCCTTTAGTAAAGTTGCATTGGAGACAAATAAATATAGTAATCAAAAGTTGTATAGTTCCATCACAAAAATCAATCCTCAATCGTTGAATTGGTAGGTAAAGATTTCTCAGAGCTAGCGCGCGCAGAAAAAGAAAATAGAGGAGAGCTCCAGTAACCTGAAATGGCGACGGGGGATGACAACGACACGGTTTCGTTAAGTCCGGGGGGTTTCCAGCTACGCTGGGACGTGTTCCTAAGCTTTAGAGGCGAAGACACCCGCGCAACAATCACCAAGAGTGTGTACGAGGGGCTCGATAAACGCGGCGTCCGAGTCTTCCCAGACGACGACGCTTTGAACCGCGGGGACGAGATCGCCCCGAGTCTGCTGGAAGCGATCGAGGACTCGACGGCGGCGATCGAGGACTCGACGGCGGCGATCGTGATCCTGTCGCCGAGATATGCGGAGTCAAAGTGGTGTCTGGAAGAGCTGGCTAAGATATGCGAGCGCCGGAGCCGGCTGATTCTGCCTGTGTTCTACCAAGTGGACCCTTCTCACGTTCGACATCAAAACGAACCGTTTGCAAAGCATTTTAGAGTTTATGAACAACTGCCTGAAATCGCCGACAAGGTCCCTAGGTGGCGGAGTGCCATGGAAAAAGTAGGCGGCATAGCGGGTTATATTATCAACACCAGGTACCCGTATATTTTCTTTTTTGGCTTTTTGTTTTTCAGTTACGTGCATGCTCTGCTTTCTTCATACTTTACAAAAGCATTTTAGTAACCAGCTGCGTTAATAAAAGTTGAAACCCTAGCTAGCTATAGCTAGGATGCATTGCTTAGAGTTGGATCGAGCTAGCTCTCTCGATAATAATGTTGTTCATTTTTACGTATGGATCATTCAGATGATGGTGATGGCTGTGAGTGCCATACAAACATTGAGATGAGATAACTAACGATTCATACACAGGTTGCAGAGGGACGAAGACTTATGAATTAATAAGTTGGTGTTCTTCCTTCTTCTTGCTGATAGTTTTAGAGATTTTCTATTTAAACCCCACACTTCTCTTAGTTCACCCCATATTCTAAGTTCACCTTATGTTTTAATTTAAATTTTCACAATTTCTAAGAAAGCTCTACTATCTTTCCAAACTACCTTTGAATACACCCCAAACTGAAAAAATAAGAAATAAAAGAGATTTTCTATTTAAACCCCACAATTTTCTTTGTTCCCAGCTGAAAAGAACACAAACAAATAGAACCCCAAACTCGAAATTTAATACTTTCTAGAGAAAGAAAACAGTTTTACCTCTCTCCAAGAATTGTAACTGGAATTCCAACACTTGGGTATTGTTGAGTTGAGAACTTGAGAGAGAGAGAGAGAGAGAGAGAGTGAGTGAGTTTGTAAACAGGAAGTTGGAAGGAGGTTGTGGTTGGGAAAGGTAGGAGAAAATAAGGTGGAGGTGGAAAAAAGTAATGAAATTTGAAGAATTATTAAGTTGGATGACCTTTTTTGTTTTTTTGCACAATAATAAAATTTACAACTTAATGATTTAAGTATTGGAATGAACAAAGAGAAGTGCAGGATTTAAATAGAAAATCTCTAGTTTTATTTGGTCGAGATTTGACTTTTCACTTTTCAGAGGACTTTTAGGGTTTGGGATATTTTTGTAATTAAATAAATATAATAATTAACAAAAGGTTTTGGAGTGTATTATTACAAGTAATGAATTGTATATTGTAGTAAATAGTAATTGAGTTGGGCTTTTATAAGGCCTACTTGATTATTCTGTTCTGTTCACTTTATTATTCATAATACCATACTATACATTATTCATTCCTTTATTTTTTTTCCCACTTGACTGAAGTGGCGTTTTTATTTAGGTTATCTTTAAATGCGAGACTTGAGTCTTTGTTTCTGACTTCTTCACCTGTTAACTACTTCGTGTTTTCTTCCTCTTGTATATTCAGTTGGTGTTGAAACAAATAAAGTCTTTAGAGCATCCACAGTAGGGACAGTAGGGGGTGTATATGGGGGTGTATGTTAAATATACACCCCGAGTCACCGAATGGTCTCCAATGGTGAGATGTAAATGGATGTAAGTATACATCACCACCATGGGGATGTAAAATAAAATGTATATTTACATCCATTTTTACATCCCTTGCAGGCGGGACCCACCCGAGAAAAGAGGAGAAAAATAAAGAAAAGTTAACATAAAAGGCTGGGACCCACGGCTACACCCCCGAATTTACACCCCCCACTGGAGCAAAAAACATATTTACACCCCCCGGAGGTGTAAAGGGGATGTAAAAATGACTTTACACCCCCGAATTTACACCCCCCACTGTGGATGCTCTTATGTAAATCTAAACAAGAAGCTTGCCCTGCTGATCACGTTACTGTCCCGGATTTCAAGAGGAGTAGTAATATTAGGGATCCTAATTAGTTATCACTAGCAAAGGTGCCCGCGCGATGCTGCGGGTTATAAAACCGTTTGAAATGTGTACAAAATTATGAAAATATGTAGGAAGTTTAAGTTAAAAAAATAAAGACTAATAACATATTTTATATGTTGCTTGTCATCTTAAAATATTGATTATATTTTATTAAACCAAGCAGCAATCAAAATATCAACAATTGAGGTGCTCCTTGTTCAAAAGAGTTTGGACATGTCTTTACATATATGCTATTGGTGGAGGAAGGGGCTTTTTCTGCCTTGATGTCTGTTGAAAGGGGATCTATCTAGGGATCTATCTCTTGTTGGCTCTACTGTAGAAGTGGTTTCTATTTTTCCTCGTCTTCTGCAGGGTTTTAACTCTGTTGGTACAAATTCAGAAAATGGTAGGTGTTAATGTAGATAAATGAAAAAAATTGAGTGAAGTCAATAACTATTATCACATAATTAATATCAACAGGACAAACAACAGTTTAGATACATCAAGCATTCTATTAACAGTGAGAAATTAATGTTCAAGCAAATACGTAGGTTAAAATCAAGTTTGTAACAAATTATTAAAAATGGTATAATAGCAGTTGGCTATGAACAAATTTAAAAGAAAATTCCAAAAAAAAGGATGAAATACCAAACTTTCATTGAAATCAAGAACACAAATAAAACATTTTGAACAAAAATTTAATTACTTTGAGCATAATATTTAGGGAAAATAAGTGAACAAAAATAAGGAGAAAAAAAAAGATAACCTTTTTCAACCTTGTCTAGCCTGCAAAGAACCTCCTTCTACTCATAGCCTCTTCTTGTTTCTCTTGTACACTGTTAACATTTTGCAAAAATTGAAAAGCCACAAAAAGAAAATAAATGAAAATCACCAACCTCAACAAAAAACACCAAATGAACTAATGCTTTCTAATTGAACACGTTCTAGTCCATAAAAGCCAAGAAAAATGTCAAATTATGACCAAATAAATCCTGCATATTTTCCTTATGACAGAATATTAGGAAACAAAACAATCGCTTTACCTATTAAGCATTTTGTGGAAGGCATTGAAATGAATGAGATCTAAATCACACAGAGTTCTATCAATATCAAATAGCACTGCTTCAAGTGGAGCGAGTCCAGAAAGTACTTTTGCTGGTTCTAGAGACACATCATAGAAGGAAAAAAAAAAAAGCAATGAGGCATTAGTATAACAAAAGAAAGAAACCAAAAAAAATACAAAAGTAACATTTGCCCCTCCTGTTTCTCTGTAATTGATCTTTCATCTTTTTATTGCTCAATTCGTACGCAACATGAGATGATACCGAACATATATATACTTTTGAATAATTGTGATAATTTATTTAATTGCTTTGGGCATAATATTCAGGAAGAATAAGTGAACAAAAAGGGTCTAACAAAAGCAGGAAAATAAAATAAAATAAAAACTATTTTCAACCTTGTCTAGCCTGCAAAGAACTGCCTTCTACTCACAGCCTCCTCTTGACGCTCTCATACATTATTACCATCTTGCAAAAACTGAAACTCCACAAAATGAAAATGATCACAATCTCAGTTAAAAACATCAAATGAACACTTTGTACTCTATTGCTAAACCCAATAAAAAGGCTACATAATGCATAACCGCTATTTCTTAATCTGGGCTCTCCATATACACATAGTTCACAAATTTAAGCAAGAGAAAAGAACTGTAAATCTGTTTGAAACTGAAAAAGAAAAGAAAACAAATCATCCTTGCACATAAGAATAAGAAAAGAAACAGTACAACAATAATATGGCAAAATATTTAATCCCTTGAGCATAAACTCAATTTAGTTTACGAAGATAGACGTCTTCTTGAAGAATAGAACCAAGCACTTGATTCAAAATGAATCGTTTTCCCACTTGTGTACTGGCCATTTTGATCTTTCTCATCTTTCCAATGGCTAATTCAGAAGATCAAGACTTGAAGTAACTCAAGCAAGTGCTGGTGCAATTCATGGACAAACTTTCACCAGGAAATTCAGTCAAAGATGTCAAATGTGGTTGGAACATGAGTTCAGACCCTTGCAGAGACCAATGGGAGGGTGTGACATGTGATAAACATAATTATGTGAAGAAAATAGTTCTTGAAATGTCCAATTTAACTGGAGTCATAAAAAGGGAACGCAAAATCATATAATATCAAATTGAAGGAGCTTTAACATCAAATTATATATATATTATGACTCATAAAAACACCCACTTTTGTTTGCTTGGGTTAAGTAGTGTATATAATTTTTGGTTCATTTCAAAGAAATATTTACCGCAAGGTATTTGAAACAGAGTAAATACAATCCAAAAAGTCAGTTCCCTTGACAATACCTTTACCAGTCAAAATTTCAAAATCTAACAACAATAGAAACCCAATCATAGCTGTCTTCCCATTTATCAAAACAGAACAACACACTCATATATACAAAGGTACAAACTTGGACTGAAATAACACACAAAGATGCATAATTTCACTCACACAACTGAACCCAATTCCCTCCACTTCCATTTATACCCCTCAAATTCACTAAAAGCAGAAAATTTAACAACTAAAGGAAATGACATGATGGAGAAAAGAGTGATATCGGAGAGGCCAAGCGAGAGTAAAAACATAACATTCAACAAATAAGCACAAAGTCTTACTTGCTTTCCAAAAAGGGAACGCAAGATAAATACAAACAGAAAGAAAGAAAAAAATCAGTTACAGAAAATCTATACATCTATTAGAATTATAATTAATTCTGATATGGAGTCATTAAAAAAGAAAAAAGAAAAAAAAAGGAGTCTATAACCACACGCCAACAGAATATTAGCCACTGAGACATCAATGACCAGTGAAAAAAAGAAAAAATTGTTCTACCAACTTATTTAATGAGTAACTGTATGCATGGAGGTAAGAGCGATGAAAAGCAACATGTAGATAATGAGATGGAAAGTCTTGTTAGAATCATCCACATTTGCTTTTGACCCTAAACCCAAATAATTCCCAATTTCTATTTTGTCGAAACCTGATTAATTTCCACTTCTTTTTTCCTTGTGTTTTATCATTAATTTTTTTCTCCATATTTAGGATACAGCAACCAAAAGCAGATAAAAAAAGGGATTTTTTTTTTTAAAAGCACGCTTGGTCTTTGCTTTCCAGTGTTTTATCGGCAACCAAAACAGAAATTAGGAATGATTTCCATTCTAAGATTTCTCCAAGAGAGCAAAGTCATTGAATCGACAATTGATTAAAAAAATTAATAATAAGAACGATGGAAATACCTGAGCTAATATGTGAGATTCAATCCCCTTCCTGATAGAACCCAAGGGAGTCGGAAAGTGAGCAGCTTGGAAGATCAGAGGAAGATTAGAGCAATGAAAAAGAAGAAGGCAAGGAAGTCGGTGAACAATGAAGAACCAACAGTCGAAGCCTACAGATGTAAAACATTCGAAGCCTCTAGGGCCGTTTGGTTCACGGAATGAATTTGATGGGAAATCATTTCCCATGTCATTTCCCAAGGGATGGAAAATGTTGATTCCTTTCCCATGTTTGGTAATGCCGGGAAAGTGATCCGGAAATATCACTTTATTTCCTTTCCCATGTTTGTTTTGAGTAGGAATGGAAAACAAATTTTGTTTAGTTTCCCAATTGTACCCCTATTAAAAAAAAAAAGAATACCAATAATTGTTGGATAAAAATTGTAATTATGAATTGTTAGTAAGGACAAATTAGTCAAAAAAAATTGTATTTAATGCTAGTTTTACTTTCCCATGGGAAGGGAAAGTGAAACCCAAGGAGGAAGGAAGGATTCACTTTCCCTCCTACTTTCCCATGTGCTAGGAATCGCTTTCCCATGCCTGACTTACCAAACATGGGAAAGGAATTGATTTCCCATGCCCAAGATTCCTTTCCCATGAACCAAACGCAGCCTAAAGGTATTTCTTATCTAATACTTGTTTCCCCCGAGCACACAATGGCCCATGAATAGTTTTAGAACTTAATCTAGTGAATAGTTGACGAAGTCTTTTCAGCATGGGATGATCATTGAAATCAACATTTATCAAGTAAATCCCATTTTTTGTGTCTCCTTTACCAATGAAATCTACACCTGAGTATTTAAAAAAAAATATATACCATCGTTAATCAAAATTTGTAAATGCAAACATAGAATTATACACCCGAATGTTCTCTCTGAACAACACACTTTTTTGGCCTTGATTTGGATTGAGTAAGCTTTCTAAAAATAGGGGTGTTGGTTTTGGAATTGGAAGTTTAATCTTTCCTTGTTGGCAACAAAGAGTGAAAAGAGGCTCATTGTTTTTCGATTTTTGTTTAATGGATTCTTTTGACCAAAAAAGTGCACCACAGTAAATGCACTTATAATTCTTGTCTCCCAAATCCACATATCCTTCAATAGTTCCTATAAAGAAAAGAAATGTGGAATGAAGAGAATAGAAGACACAAACGGAGGTTATCAACAATAGAACAATATAGTTCAAATTTAGGAGAAAAAATTCAAGTAAAAAAGAGAACCTACTTTGCCTGTTTCTCTGAAAGAAGGCCTGACCCCCACTGATTTGATCAGAATGAGCGAATTCAATCTCATATGCAGTTGTTTCAACTGCGTTCATATTGCCGTATGATATATTTTGAACACATTGTTGTCTTTTGTTCTGCACTTCAGGATTTTTTTTATGACTGGTCATAGAATTTTTTTCATGTTGATGGTTATTTTCATTGTTTGTGTGACATGCATTTTGAGCAGGAAATTCTATACCAGCTGAAGTGCTAGCACCACACTCTTGCTGTATCGGCAAACTTTGTTGGCTAAATCTAGGGCTTTGAGATAGCATATAAGTTTGACCATCGTTTTTACAAAGTGGGCTACAAATTTTTTTCGCTTGATGGCTATGCTCATGATCAGCATAACAAACATTTTCATCAGACATTTCTGTACCATTTAAAATAGTCAAACTATGAGCTTCCTGCATGATCCAATTTCGTTTGCTATTTCTAGTCCTTTTGTCCATCATGCACAAAAATTTCAAAACCCAAGCAATAGACGGAAAACAGGAAAGGAAATAAAACATGCATAAATAAACTTTTAAATTATCAATCACACTTAAACTATAATTAAGCAAAGCAAATGTACAACGATATTGACATAACCACAGAAATAAGAATCTTTAAATACCATAATATTTGATAATCAATAAACTACAGTCACTATGCATAGTCTTTTGAAAAATGAATGAAATACTAACCTGTAATCAGAAAAGCTAGCAAGCACTTCCAAAAACAGCAACAGAAAAGTTGGATTACTACAGCTATCTAAAATACGAAGACAAAAAAAAAACAAAATTAGATCAAATCAACACGCAACCACGAAACAGCTCTATCTAGAACAGCAAAACACCACCTACAAAACATCAAAAGTAGATATGGTTTATAGAGAAGAGTAGAAAAAGCAAGCAAAAATCGAAAAAAATTGCAGTTTCTGATTTTCTAGTCCCAAAACTGTTCAAACCACATAAGAATTACTTGGCTTCATTTACAGCTGCACAACGATAACAATCAGTTCAAATTTATCGTAACCAATTGTCAATTGATACCATTAGCTAATTACCATGCTTTATTCACAGAACCGAAACAATAAATTGGAATTTCAACATAGAAATGTACCTCTTGCTTAACAGAACCAAAAACAACCACGAAACAGCTCTATCTAAAACAGCAAAACACCACCTACAAAACATCAAAAGTAGATATGGTTTATAGAGAAGAGGAGAAAAAGCAAGGAAAAATCGAAAAAAATTGCAGTTTCTGATTTTCTAGTCCCAAAACTGTCCAAACAGGTTTTTCTGTGCAGTGTTTTAATATGAGATGCTTAAATTTTGTTAGTCCACTACTAAAACAAAAGGAAAATCATGGAAAACAAAAACAAACAGAGACAAAAGAAAATAGAATATCAGCCATCATCAAAATCCAAAGTAAAAATCACAGAACAAAATTCAAGTTGTTTTTTCGAAGAAAAGCCACCAAAGTTAATCCATACATATTACATGTGAGGTCATAACATAGGGAACAAATAGGCATGAAGGTAATAACATTTGCGACTACTTGTTTGAATCCCATCACAGAGCACATATCTTTTGTACAAATTTGTTGTGCATATCGTTTGAATCTCTTGGATGTTACTTTAATAACAAAATAAAAAACATTCTTTGTATTTAACTCAGGTGATAAAAATGTTTATGGCTTTTGAACTGGTGGTTTAAGCCAATTAGGAGGAACTTGGTTGGTCAGCTATAAATAGTCTCTTTTTCCATTTAAATTTTGTTTTATTTCAATCTCAATAGAAGAATTTGTACAGGCAATATGGTCTCCGGTTCATAGTTTAACAACACATACATGTTATGTTGCCAGACTGCCCCAAAAAAAACACATAATGCTTCTTTGAGCTCTTCTCAGCTGGTTGTGTTCCTAACCATCCTTACTAAAATTAGCAGGAGTTCTCTAGCGGAGGGATTCCAAAAAGAAATTAAGAACTTGATTAACATCCCTCAAATATAAATCCTTTTCAACATTGGCAATATCACAATGCAGCCATAATCAAGTAATTAATCAAATTAATATACAATGTTAGCAGAATCGTAGATCGATGGGCATTGACATAAGCGTTGTTCTATATTAGATTTTCCAATTAACACAAATATTATAGTCTTTAGAAAGCTTAAATCTAGCTTAGCATAACCAAGTTGAAAAATAGTTCTATAAAGTGTTAGACTGTCAGATTTCTCCTGTTCAAAGAGGGATCTTAATAAAATTAGAACTCACAAACTAAAAACGAATTGAAGATGGTTACATTCATATTTTATGAGCATAGATATATTATACAAAAAGAAAAGCTGGCAAAATAGAACAATATAAAGGATCCTTTTGTAACCAAATGAAGACACATTGGGAATATATATAAAGGATCCTTTATCGTAAAAATCTTTCAAGGCTAGCTAATTACTTGGCTTTATTTACAGCTGTACAACGATAACAATTAGTTCAAATTCATCCTATGTCAATTGATACCATTAGCTAATTACCATGCTTTATTCATAGAACCGAAACAATAAATTGAAATTTGAACATAGAAATGTACCTCTTGCTTAACAGAACCAAAAACAACCACCAAACAGCTCTATCTAAAACAGCAAAACACCACCTACAAAACATGAAAAGTAGATATGGTTTATAGAGGAGGAGAAAAAGCAAGAAAAAATCTAAAAAATTGCAGTTTCTGATTTCTAGTCCCAAAACTGTCCAAATATGTTTTTCTGCGCACTGTTTTTATATGAGATGCTTAAACTTTGTTAGTCCATTACTAAAACAAAAGGAAAATCCTGGAAAACAAAAACAAACAGAGGCAGAAAAAAACAGAATATCTAGTGACAACAGAGTAAACAACTAAAAAGACCATCGCTTGTAATGAGAAAGTCCAAATCCATACTGTTTTTGCCCAAAAACTTCAACCCATCAATCCCACATTTTTTCCTATTCAAAACCATCATCCAAAGAACCGTGAACCCCTAAAGCATAGCCATTCAAAAAAAATTAGGGGCAAAATATTTACTTATTGTTGATCAATACTAATGTACAGTTTATCTAATATTTTCTGTTTTCGTAGCCTCTCTAATTCTGTAAACCAAAAACTTCAATATATATCTTTAATATTCTTACTGAGTTTTATCATTTTTATTTTTACCTCTCATTTTTATGTGGCTATATTTTTTTGTTTTCAAGTACCTTTCCTATTGAGAGGGCAAAGAACCCTAGTGCATTCACAACCCAAGCAACTGGCAAGAATCCAATACTTTTATCACTAATGGTGCAACTTTGATTCGAAATTATCAATCCTTCAATTGGCATCTACATTTCTCTGTACGCATAACAAGTGAAGCAGAAATGGCTGGCGAAGAGGACGCCGACAACGCCGTCTCACCAACCCCGGGAGGTTTCCGGCTACGCTGGGACGTGTTCCTGAGCTTCAGAGGCGAAGACACCCGCTCAACGATCACGAAGAATATCTACGAGGAGCTCGAGAAACGCAGCGTCCGAGTCTTCCGAGACGACGACGGTTTGAACCGCGGGGACGAGATCGCCTCTAGTCTGCTGGAGGCGATCGAAGACTCGGCGGCGGCCATCGTCGTCTTGTCACCGAGATATGCCGAGTCAAGGTGGTGCCTTGAAGAGCTGGTTAAGATATGCGAGCGCAGCCGGAGACTGCGCCTGATGATTCTGCCTGTGTTTTACCAAGTGGACCCCTCCGACGTTCGACGGCAGAGAGGCCCATTTGCAGAGCATTTTAAAGCTCATGAGCAAGTGTACGAAAACGCCGTCGTCTCTAGGTGGAGGAGCGCCATGGAGAAAGTCGGTGGTACAGCTGGGTACCCTATTTTCGACGCCAGGTAGTAATTAATCGAATTAAATTAGTAATAGTACTAAAATTATAATCATAATTCATAACTAAATTCCCACTCAATCAGTTTGAAAACCCTTCAAACCCTAGCTTAGCTTAGCTACCATGCAAAAATTGAGATATGATTAGAGATTTAGTTATCTAATGTTTAAGGTTATGGTATATGATATTAAGATATAACAAAGTGTTTTGGAGTGTTTTGGAAGAATTAATTAAATAAGTGTGGTGGGGTATTCTTTTCACTTTGTTTAAACTATTTATTCAGTCATATGTAATATAGTAATTTAAATTGGGCAATACTGTAAACATTAGCTAATGTGTCTTTCTTTCCTCACCGCACTGTTGTTTGACTCGTTTTCATTCGGATTTACATTATGAAGTGTGAGACTTTTGGCTTGTTTCTGAGGGACAATGCTTGGCTCCTGAACCACTTGTTTTCGTAAATAGCTGCTTCGTGTGTTTTGCTGCATAACATGATTTCATTCTGAGGACCACCCGTTAACTAATTGGTGTTTTCATTCTACGTCCTCTTCCTCTCGTATGATCACTGATAACATGATTTGCAGTTGATTTGTTACTTTTGGCCTGTTTCAAGATTTAGTTATTGTCAAGATAAACTTGTCTGTAACAGATACAATTAATTCTCAGGCGTTCTATGTTTTGCTTTTCACCCTAAGGGCCTAAGTGATGTATTTGTGATTATGTATATTGACAGCAAAGAAGCAGAGTTGATTCAATCGTTAGTCAAAACGGTTTTGACTGAAATACGCAAAACGCCTGTGGGTCTTGCTCCATACACAGTGGGACTTGATTCCAGAGTTGAAGACATGATGAGGTTGTTAGATCTAAGATCCAAGGACATTAGAGTTCTCGGAATTCATGGCATGGGTGGTGTTGGCAAGACAACACTTGCCAAGGCTCTTTTTAATAGACTTGTGGGTAAATTTGAGTGCCACAGTTTCATCTCAAATGTTAGAGAAATTTCAGCAGGGCATGAGGGTTTAGTATCACTTCAAAACAGGCTTATTGGTAGTCTTTCTCCTAATACTGTGTCTGTAAATGAACTTAATACTGGCATTTCTGCAATCAAAGCAATTGTATACGAGAAGCGAGTTCTTATTGTCTTGGATGATGTTGATAATGTAAACCAACTAAATGCTTTAGTTGGCAGCAGACAATGGTTTTATGAAGGAAGCCGAATTATTGTTACCACAAGAGATAGAGAAGTCTTACCCAGTCATCTTGCGAACAAGTTGTATGAGGTCAGGGAGTTGCAATTCCCTCAGGCACTTCAACTTTTTAGTTACCATGCACTGAGAAGAGAAAAACCCACAGATACTTTCTTAACTCTGTCTGAGCAAATTGTGTCTCTCACAAGTGGGCTACCATTGGCCCTTGAAGTATTTGGTTCTTACCTTTTTGATAAGAGGAGAATAGAGGAATGGAGAGATGCTCTGCAGAAACTGAAACAGATTCGTCCGCGCAATCTTCAGGATGTGTTAAAGATAAGTTATGATGCGCTAGATGAGCAAGAGAAGTGCATCTTTCTAGACATTGCTTGTTTATTTGTAACAATGAATATGAGGAGAGAAGATGCAATTGACATATTAAAAGGTTGTGGTTTTGATGGTGAGATAGCAATTGCTGACCTCGTAGCAAAATCTCTCATTAAAGTTTATGAAGACAGTATCTTGTGGATGCACGATCAAGTTAAAGACATGGGAAGACAAATCGTTACAGAGGAAAACGTTGTAGATCCTGGGATGCGTAGTAGACTTTGGGATCCTGATGAAATATTGAATGTCTTCAAGGATGATAAGGTAGAGATTCCAGCACTATTATTTTTATTGTTTATATATTCTTCTGGCTAAATTTAGATGTCGAAGACACTTCGACCAAAAAAATAGATGTTGAAGACGCTTGAATGTCTTGAAGGATGATGTATTATTATTTTTCTTCACTCAGTTTCTTACATATTTTTCCATACCTTGATAATAGGGAACAAGAAGTATACAGGGGATAGTACTAGACTTTGAATCAATGAAAAGGGCGGTGAAGGATCCAAGTGGTGACAGAATTTCTTGGGATAACTTTCGAAGATGCCCAACTTTTACCTCTGCAGTTACATACCTAAAAGAAAGGTACAAAACATATCTTCAAACGAAAGCAGAGAAAGAGAGACAGGTTACAATTTTCTCTAAACCCCTAAGAGAAATGGTCAATCTTAGACTGCTTCAAATCAATTATCTGAATTTGGAAGGCCGCTTCAAGTTTCTTCCTGCACAGTTGAAGTGGTTACAGTGGAAAGGTTGTCCTCTGAATTCTCTTCCTTCGGATTTTCCCCCTCGCCAACTTGCTGTCCTTGATCTTTCACGCAGCAAAATCGAACGTTTGTGGCATGGGCGTGGTAACAAGGTATATGCTTCACTATCTGATCCATCATCTTTATCATTATAATTGTGACAGGAAGAATTTATATCACTGATCTTCATAAGTGTCTGCCTTGTATCTCTGTCTCTTCCTTTCTATTTCTAAGGCACAACTAATGCAGTTTGGTAGATGCTCATACACTTTTATTGTTTCTAGGTGGCTGAGAAATTGATGCTTTTGAATCTATATGGCTGCTTTAACCTAACCACCATTCCTGATTTATCTGGGAATCGGGCCTTGGAAAAGCTTAATCTTGAGCGTTGCAGTAAACTGACTAAGCTTCATGCCTCGATTGGGAATTTGCATACATTGGTCCACTTGAACCTTCGAGACTGTGAAAACCTCGTTGAACTTCCACATGATGTCTCCGGCCTGACAAAACTTGAGAACCTAATCCTCTCTGGTTGCTTACAACTGAAAGAACTGCCAAGCAACATGGACAGCATGGTATCATTAAAAGAACTTCTCCTTGATGGCACTGCTGTAAAAAGTCTTCCTGAATCTATTTTCCAGTTTTCAAAACTCGAAAAGCTCAGCTTGAACCGGTGCAAACATTTGAAGGGGCTACCTGAGTTGATAGGAAAGTTGCATTCTCTGAAAGAAATCTCCCTCAACGATTCTGCTTTAGAAAAACTACCTGTTTCCTTTGGATGTTTGGCAAACCTTGAGAAACTAAGTTTGCTCTGGTGTGAATCACTGACAACTATTCCTGATTCCATTGGCAACCTCAGTTCGTTAATGGAATTTCATACTTACGGTAGCGGAATCAAAGAACTTCCTGTGTCCATTGGTTCATTATCAAATTTGAAGGAATTATCAACAGGACACGGTCAAATTTTGAGCAGATTGCCTGATTCAATTGGAGGTTTGAATTCTCTAGTTGTGCTAAAAATTGATCAGACATTAATCACAGATCTTCCACATGAGATTGGTGCCTTGAAGTCACTTGAGAAGCTTGAGATGAGGAAATGTGGATTTCTTAGATCGTTACCAGAATCAATTGGAAGCATGAAGGCATTGACTACAATAGTCATAACTGAAGCTGATATTACTGCATTGCCAGAATCGATAGGGATGTTGGAAAACCTTACAATGTTACAGTTGAACAGATGTAAACACCTCCGCAAGCTTCCAACTTCAATAGGACAATTAAAGTCCTTGCACAGATTGCAGATGGTGGAAAATGCTGTGACAGAACTACCCGAAAGCTTCGGAATGCTTTCCAGTTTAATGGTTTTAAATATGGGAAAGAAGTATCAAAAGGGGGAAGATACAGAAGAGATTAAATTTATACTCCCCGCTTCTTTCTCAAATCTATCCTTGCTATATGAACTGCATGCTGGTGCTTGTAATATATCTGGTAAAATTGCAGATGATTTCGAGAAGTTGTCATCACTCGAAATCTTGAATCTAGGCCGTAATAACTTTTACAGCCTTCCAGCCAGCCTGAGGGACCTGTCTCTTCTCAGAAAGCTTATATTACCTCACTGTAAAAAGCTCAAGGCTTTGCCTCCGCTTCCCTCAAGTT